TGATTTCTTTCTCACCGGCGGCAGCCGGCCGGCAACTTTGCCTTTGCTGCCCGCTGAAATTTTCTACACATACCTTCCACTCTCCACAGCCGTAACTCTGCAAGAAGAGTAAACAACACAAAGCTCTTAGCATCAGAAAGTTGCTTCTTCAACTTTGCCTCCAAGTCACTTTGTAGCGTCCCACTCAATTCACGCTGCTTTGCGACCTCAGGCAGTGAGGTAGGCTTCTTTTGGAGAAACAGATCTTCTTCACCAAATGAGATATGACTGATTCCAGCAACCGCTTGCTGGTACATCCGTAATCCAGTTTTGCTATTTGGAGTAGGATTGGCATCAGATTCTAGTGTACCATTTTCTGAATCAGAGGGAGGAATTTCGGACCAAGTGAGCAGAAAATGGCGGTGGAGAGAGACATAGCCGATCTACCAAAGAACGCAGCGAACTACACTGCATTGACGCCATTGTGTTTCTAGAGAGGGCTGCTCTAGTTCATCCCAACCGCAAATCGGTTGTCCATGGATCTCTGCACTACACCTGGCACCACACTACCTCCGTTGCCGTCGATTAGCTCTCTCTCTTCCCGCCGCTCCATCGGCTTCGGTAACACGGTGGCGGTCATTGCACCAAACATTCCAGCTCTCTATGAAGCTCATTTTGGAGTTCCGATGGCTGGAGCTGTTTATAAACCCTGCCAACATTCGGCTCAATGGATCAACTGTTGCTTTTCTCTTAGAACATTCATCATCTTCTGTTGTAATGGTGGATCAAGAGTTTTTTCCCTTGGCAGAGGAAGCTTTGAAAATTTGGCAAGAGAAAAAAGAAAAGCAGTTTTAAGCCTCCACTGCTGATTGTCATAGCTGATGAAAGCTGTGATCCAAAGTCACTCAAATATGCTTTAGGAAGAGGGGCAATTGAATATGAAAAGTTCCTCGAAACTGGTGACCTGAGTTTGCGTGAAACCACCACAGGATGAATGGCATAGTCCCAATATCATCATATTTTATTTTATTTCATTTACACCACACATACCTGCACGACATCCATTTACTCTTTTTTAAATCCCCACTTTACCTTTCTTTATTTTTCTTTCCCTTTTCCAACCTTCTCCACTCCTTTATTTTATTATTATTTTGTACAAATCCAACCCATCCTTTTTCTTTTTCATTCTTTCCACACACTCATGTTCTTCACTCAACTTTTTTTACCCCATCTTTTGAAAAGCAACCAAAACACCCGCCCACAACTTTAAATCTCCCATTTCTTTTTTATTTTTTTATTACTTTCACATTCACACACTTCTCTTCAATTTCTTTTCTTTATAACTTGAGTAAAAAAAAAAAAAAAACAACAACAACAACAACAACAACCAAAAAAAACAAAATGGCACACCAAACCTTACCTTATTTTATTCATCTCAGGGATCCACCCCTGATCCAATTTACACCAAAAAAAAAAAAAAAAAAAAAAAAAAAAAAAACTATAAAACAAACAAACAACCACAACAAAACAACCACACCCACAGTGGGATTTTTCTTCTCTACTCTGCCGCGTCTCTTCTTTTTGCCTCCGTCTTGGGCGGCCCTTGCCGGAGTTGCCTCCGTGCTTCCTAGACACCAAGCAAATTGCCTCCTCCCAGCTCTTCCATGCAGCATATGGCGGCCCTCCGAATCGGAACATCACGGTGGCCTTCCGCTTCAGCTCCTTATTTTCCGCCTTTAGCACACTTATCTCTGCTCGCGCATCCTTATACATGCGTTGGAGCAGAGCCAGTGTGCGGGTTTAGCTGCTGCACCTCATTTGTTCTACTTTGCAGCCGGTGCGACAGTTTGTGACCGCCGTCATGGTCTCCACACATGACTTCAAAGTATACTGATTGGCCTCAATATCAGTTTGCACCGCCATTTTTTGCTCCAAAGACCGCATCGGAAAGTTCAACGGAGCAAAATCAGAGGTGTTTGGTTGAGGTTCACGGGCCACCGCACCAGTTATCTCTCTTGTTGACTCGTTGAGGTCTGGAAAGAGAGTGAGCAGACTACGGGACGAAGAGGCCATTTTCTAGGCAACCGAGTGTTACAGAGTGTTTCAAGATTTGCAGCTCTTAGAGACAATCTCTCAGAAAACGAATATCTCTCTCAGAAAATGAAGAGTTTTCAGAAGTTTTTCCCAAGGTTTTTTGTCTTCGCTTCTGCCTCAAGCATAGCCTCCGCTCAGTTTATAAAGACCCTGACGAAGAGGCAGACACGCGCATCATGCGCCGCTCGCGCTCGACGACAACATGGCGCGCCTTTTGATGGCACGTCTTTGATGGCACGCCTTTTGATGATTGGCGACGCCTTTTGATGGCACGCCTTTGAAAGATTGGGCACACCTTTTGAGGGTGCGACTTTTTATGGGTCCGACAAGATCCTGTAAACTGTCCGACATTGATTCCGGTTAGCTCCTTCATGGGTCCGACAAGACTCTGTAAACTGTCCCGACATTGATTTCGGTTAGTTTCTACAAGGGTCCAGCAAGACTCCGTAAACTGTCACAACAACTGTCCACAACATTGTCTGCTACAACGCGTCCGACATGACCCCATAAACTGTCTTCTACATCGGTCTACCATAACCATACAGTCTTCTACAACGGTCTGACACGACCATACAGTGTCTCCTATCCTTTTTATTTTATGTATTCGTCTATTTCTTGTTTTGTTAGTCTCTCCAAACTCAAGTTGGTTAGTTCCTATCCCCTTGAGTTTGCGGGGGGCTGTTAAAATGTACCAAAACCTACCACTAACACCTACTCCACCCACTTCACCTACTCCACCTACTACTCCACCTTACTACATACCTACCCCCTTTAATCTTCTATATATAGGATCTATTGTAAACAGAACATATATCATCAATAATACATAATTTCATTTTCTCTATTTCTCTATACATCAAATTTAACAGCGTATATATTTGCTTCAAAAAATCAGAACCTGATTTTTTTTTTTTTTTTCATTTTGAAGATTACTCTAGTATATGTGTGGTTTGTTAATAAGCCCATATTTTTCTCTTTTTTTAAATTGAAGTAGATATAAGTGACCCTGTCTTTCTGGGTTCATATTGATCAAGCTAAAGTTGTAGTTGTCATTAGTTCATGAAAATATATACTTGATCATTTTTACCCAATTTTCCAGGCTCTGGGTACTGCTGAAAATGACGTTGCCAATATGGTGTTGGCAATCCTGGGGAAAGTTGACCATGCACTTTGCCTTGGAAAGTAGAAGCTGCATGTTTAAATAACCATGCCTGAGGATCAGAATCCAGTGCGCATACCTTTATGTGAGCTGTTTTATTTGATTTTGTTGAGTTGTAGGTTTAGAATATGTTCTAAAAACTGGAAGTCACAGCACCATTGTGGCTCCTGAATGTGTCTTTTGTCTTCTTCGGATTCTTTAAGACCTGGCAACATGTACTCTCATCTCTTTGAGAGAGAGAGAGAGAGAGAGAGAGAGAGAGAGAGAGAGAGAAGTGGAAAGGGGTCACCGTGGCGGAAGAGTGGTCGTTGGTGGGAAAACATTGGAATGGCTATCAGAGAAGGTTGTTAGCCAAAGTTGAGGAAAGTGAAAGTGGAGGTAGATGTGGGGTTGGGATTGGGGTAGGGATTGGGGTTAAGGTTAGAGTTGGAAGGATAGAGATGAGTTCAAAAATGAAAATTAATGTTAGGGTAGAATTGTAATAAAAAAAAAGATAGAAGAGGTGGGGGTGTAAAGAAAAAAGGTGGAGACATTTAGGGGTGATTTGTGATGATCCAAATAAGTGCACTTTTTTACTTTTTATAAAATATGAGTTGGGTATGGATTATGTTTGAAGTGATATGACAAAGAGGTAATATAACTTAAATAAAATGATACGATTTAAATATAATAGTGACTTTTTAATTTTTAAAATTTTTTAAGTTATGACAAGTAAGACCTTAATAACCATCATATTTAATTTATTATGATATGTCTTGTAGTTAATGTACACTTATAATACCGTAAAGGGCCTTTTACGGAGGCTATCGACTTCAGCGCAAAGCCAGAAATAGAAACAGAGAATTGTGAAGAGATTGAGAGTCTTCTTATAATCCTAATTGTATATAGTAAATTTTCAGTCTCTTTCTCTATCGTGAATATAGTCATCTCACCAACCCATGTATATTTAGTATTTGAGGTGGTAGTGTTGTAGTGGGTTAGGTTTAGTGGAGTAGGTGAGAGTGGGTGAAGTAGGTGGAGAGTAGGTGGTGTAGTGGGTTAGGTTTAGTGGAGTATGTGAGGTGGTAGTGGTGTAGTGGGTTAGGTTTAGTGGAGTAGGTTTAAGTGGGTGAAGTAGGTGGAGAGTAGGTGGATTTTAACATAGTGGTTTAAAGGTGATTCTAGATGATCATAATGAATGGAGCTGACACCTACCTTGCCATTCCTTACTTTTTAAGAAAATGTTATGATTATTTTTCATGTTGTCATCAATAGACCATGGTTATTTCTTGTATGTGCTGGAGGTTGGTTCGGGGCCTCCTAGGTACCTGTTCAATGGTTTCAATGCTTATACATTTGCAGGACTTAGAATGGAAGAGATCACAGTTCTTGTTCGAATCTATGTGGTATTATTACATTCTAATTTTAGTTTCAGGTTTGCTCCTGCTGATTACACATTTGTATATTCTTCCATCTTATATCTGTCTTTTCAGGGAGCAGCCGCCAGTTTGTTGGGTTCGATACAGAAATTGATGAGTCCATTATCAATCGCATATGGGAGCGGGCGGTGGAGTTCTTTCCGGCTTTAATAGAATTCTCTCTTAGAGATTTCAGGGAAAGTAGAGAAGTGAGAATAGGATTAAGACCTTACAGTAAGTAGGCAATCTGTCTCATTTGTCAATTGAGGTGTAGATTTGAATTATTATGATACTGGAGATATGGTTATCACCTATAAACTGTTGTAATAATATAAAATTTCACTTGTTTCAGTGCCAGATGGGAAGCCAATGATTGGGCCGGTTCCTGGTTTGTCAAACTTGTTCCTTGCTGCTGGCCACGAAGGGGAAGGACTTTCATTGGTAATTTTCTCTGGTTTTCTCTACTCTTTTGCTTGTGAAATTCCAGAAAAATATAGAATCATTTAAAAATTGCTCCAATATGATTTGCGTATTATATTTGTTTCAAAAAATCAGAACCTGATTTTTTTTTTTTCATTTTGAAGGATTACTCTAGTATATGTGTGGTTTGTTAATAAGCCCATATTTTTCTCTTTTTTAAATTGAAGTAGATATAAGTGACCCTGTCTTTCTGGGTTCATATTGATCAAGCTAAAGTTGTAGTTGTCACTAGTTCATGAAATATATACTTGATCATTTTTACCCAATTTTCCAGGCTCTGGGTACTGCTGAAATGGTTGCCAATATGGTGTTGGGCAATCCTGGGAAAGTTGACCATGCACCTTTTGCCTTGGAAAGTAGAAGCTGCATGTTTAAATAACCATGCTTGAGGATCAGAGATCCAGTGGCATACCTGTTATGTGAGCTGTTTTTATTTTATTTTGTGAGTTGTAGTTTTAGAATATGTTCTTAAGATAATCTGGAAGTCACAGCACCATGGCTCCCTGAATGTGTTCTTTTGTCTTCTCGTATTTCTTTAAGACCTGCAACATGTACTCTCCATTTGGTAGTTTCTTACTTTTAAATTCGTCTTCCAACACATTAAAGCTTTGTATGCTTCCTCCACTTATTATTAATTTTTGTTTCCTCTGCTTATTATGGTACACATCTCAACAGTGTTATACACAAATTTCTTTGTTCTTTGTTATTAAGTGATATACCTATGTTGTACTGTGTATTGTGGTCCAGCTTGAAATGTTCTAGATTCTGGATTCTTTTATCCTACTCATGTCTTCAAGTGTTGTAATTTTCTGCTCTAGATTTCTACTGTCTACATAGAGTTGTATAATTTGTCAATGTAATTCCAAGCACCATGAATAACATTGTGTAATCATTATAGATTGAAGCATTATGCATAAGATGGAGATTGAGTTTAGAACCACTTACAAATTCCATTTGTACATCTGAACATGCTCAAATAATAAGATGAGTTTAGTAACTCACTTGAAACCTGTAAACTGTCGATATGCCCTCATAAGACAGAGTGATTTGTTTTCTCACTTTTGTAGGTGATTCTGCATTACTGTATGAGTTGAAAGAGACTATTCATGCAAGGAAATGCTTTGTTCAAACTATACCCTGCTTTGTTGTTGGATGTATGTATTACAGATTGAATAAACTATAAGACGACAAGAAAGTACATTTCGGAATTATCAATTTATGTTAAATTGATATGCTATTAGGTATCCCCTTTCCAGTGATTCCCCCTTTGAATCCATCATTGGATGTATCAGGGTACAAAAGCTTGTATGTTATCTTGGCAGGACCCCATCGGTTCTTAAGCTGGGGATTTTTATTCCTTTCTGATATTCTTTTTTCAACTTGTAGAAGGTTCTCACGAAATTGCTTAAATATCTGATGAATCTGTTCATTGTCTGTCCATACCACCGATGACTGGTGACCCAAGTACACTTCATCTGATGTGTGCTGAGATAGGACCTCTACCAATGCTACACTGAGGGTCATTTCGAATCTTTCAGGCAACATCCGAAGATAATATTTATCAGGATCACTTAGAAACTCAGCAAAATCTTGTGTCCCTTCCTTGGGAATGAACTTTCGACACAATGAAGGACGATTTAGAGGATAGCCAGCATATCCATATTGCCCAAAGTTCACTGCAGCATGAAGAGCTGATGATGTCCATATGAGAGTTGTAAGAGCCTCTATTAGATCAGTAAGAGTTGTCATTGAGTACCACCACGTTTCATTGCACTTATCCCCATGACCCACATTTCGAATTTCCAACCACCATGCTTGGATTTCATCATCAGACCTTAGAGAGTCATCATTTGTGTAGAAGAGTGAGCAGAAGTTGGTTACACATGTTTTAATGGCAGCCCATATCTCCAGTCCATCTGCACCATAGGGATAGTCTTCAAAGAGGAGCTGAACCCCGCCAGGCCTGTCTGGGTTAGGAAAGGCCATATCTCTGAAATTTATGTTATGTAAATTTAGGAAAAGAAAGAAAGTATTTTGAGGTTTATACAGATAGGCTCTCTTGTGTCTGCATTATAGGAGAGTAGTTTCCATACCTTTTGAGTAGATCCGCAGGGAGGCCTTGTTCATCAAATCTCCAATCTTTATAGAGCGCAGAAGACAGCTCCATTGAGATTTCACCGGTAGCTAATGTCTTCTCAAGGATTCCACCTGAGTTAATGAGAACACTCCGAGCCAGGGCATTCATGTGCATGGTGTCTTTAAAATGAGGATCCAGTAGCCGATGAATGGGGTGCATTGCACTCAACTGCCTTCTGGTGGCTATGATGAATGGCTCAACTACTGCATGAGTTTTTAACCTATAATATACATGCATCAATTGGAAACCTAGTATTTCTAGGAGAATTTGGTTTTATAATTTGTTTCCATTTTTCTTTAATGTCCTTATTAGCTATGCTAGGCATATATATATATATATATATATGGAGATTGTGTAAAAGAAACGATTACCTTTGATTGAATGGATATTGATTGAGAGAATTATCAGAAAACCTAGAACGGTATTTGTGACATTTCATCTTTTGATTAAACACCACTTAAGACTAAGGGGGATAAAAAAAATTGAACTTTCAATAAATTTTTTAGTGAAGATGACTAGGCATGTTCAGAAATTTAACTACTGCAAGGTTGCAAAATTGCTTAAATAACTTACCAGTGGCTGATCAGCTGGTGGTGACAAGAATCATTGACTGCAACATGACTTTTAGCGAACTGCCACAGTGCAGCCTCGGTGCCCTGCATTGATGGAATAAACACTCTGTGGATCTCCTCGCCACCAGAGGAGCTAGGCAAGCTCAGTTCTATTGCCAGTGGCTTTAACGTTTCATCGTTCCTTAAGAACAGTAGCGTTCGAGATGCGTAAGCACATACACCCTTTGTGTTCATTCTGTTTAAGAATGGCATGAGGTAGTCATGATGATCCAAGATGAAAATTCTCCATTGATACATAGCCTGCAATGTAATTAGATTGTGAGAAAAGTATGAATTCATGTATCAAAAACTGTTCTTTAAACACATTTTGTTGGGACTAGGATTGTAAATAGAATCAAGCTACTTGAGCTCGACTTGTGTTCAGCTCATTCGAGATTTGCTTGTTATGTGAACATGCCAAGTTTGACCACATTTTCAAGCTTGTTAAATTTTCAAACCAAGCTTAAACAACTTGCTATTTGGCTTGATATTAATTGAGAGAGAGAGATAGATTACCTCTTCAATAGTCAGTCCATCGAGGTTGTGCTCTATGTGTGATTGCTTGATAGTACTCCACACTCCATCTTTGCTCTTTGGGGGGAATGTCTGTGGTAAGTGTCAAAATTTGAAGATTAATGCTTTTGCTCAGACTTCACTAATGGAATGAAATCATGTAAATTTATTTTAGTATTTTGCATAAAATATATGAAGAGATTGGTGAAGGTTTATATTGTTTATATTAGGTTCAAAATAGTGTTGGAAGTGATTGTGTCCCTGTCTAGTTAGACTAAGGTTTTGGATTCACTGCCTTGTTTATTCTGCTAGTGAAATTTGCTACAATTGATAACAAGAATTTCAAAAAAAAAAATTCATATTAATTGAAGCTTCTCGATCATAAAATGCTCTTTCCAACATAATATTTCATCGAATGCAGAGTACCCAATTTAGAAATAATTTGACATTATGTTAATCTTATGTTCTGCCATCATTTTTGATCTGCTTTGACTGTTTCTGTTTAGGTGCCTTAATGATAATTTATTTTATTTTATTTTTATTTTTTTTGTAGCACAGCCTGGTTTTTGAACATACCTCCAAGGACTGGATTACTGCTGGATTAATTCCTGCTAGCATCTGTTGCACGAATTCCTCATCATCCTTCCATGCCAATTCATTTTCTGAAATTTTCAAAAAATCTCAAAATTAAAAGGGAAAAAAATGACTTCTACCTTGCAAATGTTATGCCTTCTAATCATATACCGTAACTTATAAGCACATATCACCTGCTATTCGAGGTAATGGAAACTCTGTAGGTTTCTCTTTGCTTGCTTGTGTAATCTTCTTGAAAAGATCGGGTGTCACCATCCTCTTCAATTTCTCTGCAACCCATCCTTCAACTACTTGATTTCTGCTGCTAGTAAACAAGTCACGTATCTCATCGAAGGACTCAAAATTGCCACTATCTTTTCCAAACAATGATTTTGCCTCAGGTAAAACGAAATGTAGAGCGGCCTGGATTGAATTAGATATGAACTCTGATAGTTTCTTGGGGCTGAGTCGCTCATCTGGGGGTACGTACACATCTAACTTGATTGTTTCTGTCTGGTTATCTGTCAGAGGATTTAAACATTTGTATGTTGTAGAATTACATGCAGTGTGCATACAAAGTTGGATTATGACATTGGGAAAGCTTGAATGGTACAAATACCTTGGTTGCGACCAGGGCGGCCAGTTCTACACCTGCGGGGATAGGGATATGTTTTAGAGCCACCCAAGATGGGCCTCATGTGCTGTGATCCTTTATTGGGATTGCCAAGGTCATTATAGTAGTCGTAGTCGTAAATTCGTTCCCATTCTTTTCTTTCCCCTGTTCCATCTCCTCTCAAGCTAGTAAGTTCTTCCTTCCTCAGTTCCACCAATGCTTTTGGTGTTTGGTTTGGGAGATAACTCTAGACAACACAACAACAACATGCTTTGCAATTTTGAACACACTGGGAAACATGAAAAGCAAAACCAATTTAGTATATGGCTTACAATGTTTGAAAAGAAGAGCCGGTTAGTCTTTGTTTTGTGAGTAGGGTAAACCCATGAGTTGCAGTCAAAATAAACGGTCCGGTTGCCAGAATCTTTGAGACTGGCAGATTGAAGGAAAAACCTATCCTTGTGTTGGTTTTTTATGACAATAGCTCCAGGAATTCCAAACTCTGGCTCTACATGAAACTTTATTTCATATGTAGTGATTTTTATGCCGGAATGCTTGTTAGTCTTCCCATCTCTGAGTTTCGCTATCCCACTCATCTTCCCTTTTCCAGTGTCTGTTGGATAAAACATCATATCATCATTAGCATCATCTTATGATAATGTTTGAGGTGTGTGCTACTGACAGTTTGACTTACTAGGGTCGACTTGAGAGCAACTAAATAGTTGGACTGAAGCGGCTGATCCAGGAACTGATTCTCCGCGGCTCCGTTGAACGATAATTTGTCCCTTTATGATATGTTTGGTGGAATGACTAGTATGAGCTTTATGGATGGCATTCACACAATTCTGGAGGCTGGAACACGGGCCGCCTCCACGTTGTTCCATGATTATCCTTTCTTTTTTCTGGGTTTTTGCTCAATCTCTAATTGATGTGTTTCTGAATCACATTCTTTATGAATTTTGAGTGTTTGGGATCTGAAGATTGCTTGGGTTTGAAGAAAATAATAAATTGAGTGGAATGTAATTGGAGAAGAAAAGAATGTGCATAGGAAGAAAAGTAAACATTTGTGCTCACCTTTGGTTCTTTACTCTTTAGCAATGGATCTGATCCATTGCTTTGTTGCAGTGTTTTCATTTTCCATGTTTGTATCAGAACTGGCTTGAACAACTTTCAAACAATAGAATCAAACTTGTATTCTTAGGTCTTTTTTCTATTTTACTTTCAAATACATCAATTTCACTCTATGATTGTGTACGTGTTTATACTTGCCAAAACTTAAAAGAATTCAACATTCTGGTACCAAACCAGTCACAATATGCAGTTTCTTATTCTTCTCTCTCTCTCTCATTTACATTTTTTGGGGATATATTGGAGGGAGAAAAGGAAGTCCGACCCGTAGTAAACGTGGACATTCCTACTTAAAAACACTTTTTAGCAATCTACAGTGCCAAGCTCCCCACCCACACTGCTGCAATGCAGACATTTTTTTTTCTCCATAAAAATATTAGTCTTGTTCGTTTAATGCTTTTTTAGGTAACAAACTAAAAAAATAAAAATAAAAATAATAATGATAATTATAATGAGCCATTAGAAGCATTTTTTATTAGTTATTTGTCAAATGCATCAATTTTTTGGCAAATATTTTTTGCCAAAAAAAAAAAAGGGGTGGTGCTATGCATTAATTTCTCACTTCAAATATCTTCAATTTTTAGTTAAATTTAATTTTAGTAAAAAAATTTGATAAAATTGATACCTAATTCATTCATTAAACTTGTATCAAATCAAGTTTTTACTAAAAATTTCATAGAATGAAAGATGCATCAAATTTTGTATCAATTTTTCAATAATTATTTTTTCACTTAAATTTGATGAACTTTTAAATGACGAAGGATTTGAGATAATTTTTTTTATGTATTATAATTGGTTAAAAGAGATTTTTAGTATAGTTTAGATATTTTAAAAAAGATTTAATGAAAAATTAAATTCTCAAATGAGCTATATCAAATTATGTTTTTAATTTAAATTATTAAACAAATTTAATAAAGTAAAAAAAATGGCGAATTGATAGAAATATCGTTATAAATACAAGTTTTGCTGTCTTTTGTATAAACAAATTACTCATATCACCATATTTTAGGCCATTTCCAACATTTACTCAAATTTGTCATCAAATTTAAATTTGATAAAAAAGTCTTAAGAAGTGAGCTCTAATGTTTTCATCAAAGTGCTATCAAATAGAGGGAGAAGCAGATATTTCATTAAATGGAGGGAGACTAGATCTTTCATCAAATTTAAATCGTTACTGTTGGATCGAATGTCCGTCTATGGTAATTTGATACAGTAGCTTTTTGTTCATGTTCAGATGAGTTCCTGGACAACCAGATATGTGAAAAAATTTAATGAAAATTCTAATTTTAGTATTGGAGTGAACATGTATCAAATCAAACTTTTCATTAATTTTTTACTCAAATTTGATAATTTTTTTTATACAACGTTGGAGATGGAGATGCTGTTAGACCATTTTCAACCCAAACTCAAATCTTTCATCAAATTTAAATTTGATGAAAACGGTATTCCAATCATTTCACCAAATTGGTACTAAATGAAGAGAGTCCTACTTTTTTCATCAAATCAATGAAGCATTTAACCTTTCATCAAATCTCGCAGGTGACTGTTGGTGGAAGATCGAATGGATGATCTGCCGAACAATTGGGTGGATGATTGGATTAGGAAAAATTTAAAGAAAATTTACACTAGGCTGATTAACTGCCCAGGCATCCTCCCAGTCGACTGATTGCTTGATGAAAATTAAAATTTTAATATTAAAACTCTTGGTTTAGATGAAATTTTTAATCAAAATTTTTACTCAAATTTGCTGTTAGGAGTTTTATTAATATTAAAAGAATATAAAAAATTTAAAATTTTAATAAATGTTTTACATTAAAAAAAATGCAATGACTTCACTCTAGTTCGAAAATCGAATTGGAGAGTATTACTGAGCTTTCGAGAGCCTATCATGGAATAATCTGAACCATTTAATATGTAGATCTCATTGAGTATTTTTTCTAAACAAAAATCACGTTTATCAGATATCAATAGTCACTTAATTAGATTAAATTTGTATCAACGATAATTATAATTTCAAAAATAAATTATTCATACAAATATGATATGATCAAGTAGCTATGGATATCCGATCAATATAATTTTTTACATGGATCATTGAATGAGTTTTACACATTGAACGTTTAGGATCGTCGAGAGACCCAAAATGGGCTTGTAATGGGCCGGACTGGACTGTCGTCTAAGTCCAAAAAAAAAAATGTATTATTCACTTGACCGCACCGTATCATATTCACCGGAGAGAGGAAGACGAACCATGCCCAAGGCCATCTTGTCCACAGCTCGGTAACTTTTGCTATTTTTTTCTCGAACCCTTTTCGAAATCTCAACAATGGCGATGGCAGGTTTACAGAGACTCACAACCCAATTATATCGAAACCCTTCACTCTCTCTCTCCTCCAAAGCCATAATCACCCGATCATCCGCTTCATCATCCTCACTATCTTCTTCATCATCATCATCCAAGAAAGTCTCTGATCGAATCGTGAAGCTCTTCGCGATCGATCTCGACGGCAAGAAGCGCGAGATCGTAGGTCTCTCAGGCCACACTCTCCTGAAAGCCCTAGCCAACGCCGGCCTGATCGATCCAGCTTCGCACAGGCTGGAGGAGATCGACGCGTGCTCGGCCGAGTGCGAGGTCAACATCGCTCAGGAGTGGCTCGAGCGACTGCCTCAACCCTCGTACGAAGAGCAGTACGTGCTCAAGAGGAATTCGAGGAATAGGGTTTTGAACAAGCACTCGAGACTCGGGTGTCAGGTGGTTCTGACGCCGGACCTCCAGGGTATGGTTGTGGCCGTTCCCGAGCCTAAGCCGTGGGACATCCCGTAAAAGAGTCGAGAATTTGACTACTGTAAGGATTTTGAAATGAACATTTAGGGTTTTTGAATTGAATAATGTGCACACTTTTTGGTACTCATTGCTGTTTTATTTAATTTTTATGGTCAATTTGATGAGACACAATTTGTGTAAGATTATGTTAAATTTCGTATTTGGAATTCTTGGAATTCAATATATCTTTGTGCTTGTTTCCATAAATTTTGTTGGTGTCAATACCATTGTTAAAGAAAACAATTTCAATCTACTCCAATAAACTCCTTAATATATGTTATACATATATCTAATTCAGCATCTAGCTTTGTGTTGCTTTTCCATGAGATTGCATTAAGATGAAATTTTCACAGAGATTGTGGGGGATAAGGTTTAGAACCTTTTTTTGGGTTCTCTTTTAAGTGCTAGAGGTACCCATGCCCCCCGCTTCTAACATGGTTTTGAACACAGTTGGTGGTTTGTTGTGCAAATATGGCATTTCCATGTACATGTGTTCAATTTGCATACCAACAGCTCTATTATTATGATCTGGTGTTAAGCTCCAGTTGGGTTTGTTGCTACTTATCGAACTGCAGTGATGTAGTTTGAAGTGAATAACATGATTCAGACTTGAACCTTTATGTAGGGATCCAGTTTGAAAGTATGAAGGTTGATATTTGGCAAAGTCATTTAGCCATGCTAATTGTTTTCATGACATTATTCCTTTAGTTTGAATTAAATATTTGAATTAGTTTGGCACATAAGAGTTCTGGATAGTTAAATGTTAAATATTAAAATGAAAGCATCATTCCAACAGGAGACTATTGTTAGAAATGGTTTCAGTGATTTTAATTTGATTAAAATCTTATCTTTTTTATCTTTTGGGAGTTTACGTCCCTAGTCTCTGAACTTGCATTTGTAGTGAGTTCTTACTTATTTGTAATCATTTGAGGTATCCCCATACTGGGTCAGTGCTTATTAGCTAGACCAAACTCTTAAAGAAGAATTTCAATTCAAAATTTTGTATAATTTTCTTAGCCTTGACTAGTGGATATCAATTTAGCTAAATAAAAACACAAATTGCAACAATAATCAAGAGAGAAACAATTGATTTTACATGAAAAACTTGAAGAAAAAACTTTCTTTAGGAATCTGGGGTTTACCCTGCAAATGTGGGTCCAAAGTGGCCCTTGCCTTGCAGGGTGGGGGTTCTTTGTCATCCAAAAAAAAAAACCGTCCATGGCAAAAACCATTGACATGGCCAAGATCAACAAGAGGGAGCTCACATCATTATTGACAAATAAATTCTTCTCATCATGGTCTTTACTGATTTCTTCTTTTTCTTGGCTCTAGTCCCCGAGAAGGGTCTTGTAGCTTTATTGAAATGGCAGGTCTGATTCCATGGCATACTTCAGAATATTTTTGCCCTCCAATTATTATTTTCCAGCAATTGCCTCTCCTCAATTTGTAAAGCTACTCTCTCTCTTTCCATCTTTTCTGATGTTCTCTTTATCACCTCCGTCATTGTTATTGCTGTCTTCCAGAAACCCCAATTGCATGGGCAAAATAAGAGTTGTCAAACACGGGATTCCTTGCTGATGATCTGCAGAGTCGATTATCTGCATCATTGTTCCAAAAGCCAATGGGAATTGGTTGTTTGAATTCGGAGTAGGTTTCCTAGCCTGACTGGTATAGTGGCGACCCACATTTTTTTACCCTGTTCATTAGGGCTTCCTTGATTGAAAGCAAATTGCTTTCAGTGCCTTCGCCTACTCTGCAAGTAGCTTAGCCTTTCTTTAATGCTTACTAATATACATGTTGATATGTAATTATATGTTTCAATTTTATTTGTTGGTTCTCCTATATGGAACACTCTTTAGATTATTGATTAGAATTTTGACATTTCTCACTTAGTTGCGCCGTTCTTCGAATACTTTGCCCCAAAATAAATACATTAGGCCTTACCTGTGAGCATGCACTTTTTTGGACAAAATTGAATGCACATTGTTTTTCTTTGTATATTGCCTTAAATTTGACTCTGTTTTTACTTGTGTCTGTTTATACCATCTGCTTATGTCACTAGCAATAACAGGAATGAAAGAGTTTGCATCCGTTTACTGTTAGTAGTTGGTACCTTGTGTAGTATGAATTCAGATTTTCCTATTGAGATGCAAGAAAGTGGAGAGATTGCACATAATCTATGATTAGGACTAACGGGGTTGTTTGGAGTGTCCTAAATAAGTATATATTTTTTTCTTTTTAGACTAAAAAGTTGAGGAAAAAAATATGAATATTTGGGTTAACTTTTTGATTTTTATGAAAAAATATGTATTAAAAAATTATATAAGTAAGTGTGTATGAGAAGATAGGATAGGAGGTCGTACGGACTGACAATGGAGTCGGTTGGGTGAGTAGATGAGAAAATATTGTCTCCTTCTCGGGCTTTGATTAGGTGGTGTTGTTTGGCCCGTGGGGGTTCACCACGGGTCCCGTTTTTCTAATCGGAACCGTTCAATGTGTAGAACTCGTCGAGTACTATATAGTTGTAAAAAATCACATTAATTGAATATCGATAACTATATGATCGTGTTAGTTTTTTTTGGTTAACTATTAACTATATAACACCATATATTTTTATACAAAACTGATTTGATCATATAGTTAGCGATATCCGATAGACGTGATTTTTTGCAGGCATATAGTACTAGACGAGTTCTATAAATTAAACGGTTCAGATTATCAAAACAGGACCCATGGTGGGCTCCCACGGGCCCAACTTCACTATCCAATTTTGTGATTGGCTAGTTGTAATTTTTTTTCTCTGTCACTGACTAGTTGATCACGTCAATACCAATCTTGGGCCAAAAAGTTGATTTATTTTAATATTTGTATATTAATTTTTTAATATTTTTTTTGGTGAATAGTTATAACTTTTTAACTTTTTTGGTAATTTTTTGACTTTTTGGCTTTTTCTAAGGTTGCCAAACCAGCCCCAATGGGTGTCTTAAATAAGTGCATTTTTTGTCTTTTTGAACTAAAAAATTGAGAAAAAAAATATGGATGTTTGGGTTAACTTTTTGACTTTTTATAAAAAAATGTGTATTAAAAAATTGTATAAATAAGTGTATAGGAGAAGTTAGTGATGGAATAGGCCATATGGACGGAAGCGTAAGGGGCAGCGCGCCGGATGGTAGGGGTAGGAGATTGATTCTCTCCTTTTTGGACATAAATTGGACGATGCTGTTCGGCCCATGGGGGCTCACTACGGGTTCCGTTTGGTTAATTGGAACCGTTCAATATGTAGAACTCGTCGAGTATTATATATTTGTAAAAAATCACGTTGATTGGATATCAATAGCTATCTGATCGTGTTAGTTTTTCTTGTCAACTGTTTTTTTTTTTTTTTTTGTTACAGGGAAATCCTCCCACCCTCCCGCAGGTCCAAGGCCCCCATGAGGAGATCACCAGGGTGTCATGTTGTCCGTTCTGAGTAAGAGACTATAACTTGGAAGTTTGTCCAGACCTCTCAAGGCAAGTTTCGATTAAGTCAGGACTCGCACAGCGGGGGAGCATTAAACCCATACCAAGTAGCTGATTAGGCATCCTTGAAGTCCAACATCCTAACCAACAGTGCTTCGCCCAGGAGATTGGCCCAAGGGAGGAATTGAACTTGTGACCTTGGGGCTTAAACCCCAAGGCCTTACCACAATGCCACAACCCCTTGAGTTTGAACTGTTAATTATAACACCATCCATTGTTTATACAAAATTGATTTCATCATGTAGTTACTGATTTCCGATCAACGTGATTTTTTTCAGGCATATAGTTCTGGATGAGTTCTACATATTGAACGGTTCGGATTACCAAAATGGGATCCGTGGTGACCCTCCACGAGCCCAACATTTCCATCCAACTTAATGATTTTATATATTTAATTCTTTTTTTTTTCTTCACATGGTACTAAAGGCTTAATTTAGCCCCGAAAATTATGTAAATTTTGTTTGATTAAAATATTATGTATATTAATTTTTTAATGTTTTTAATTTATGAATAGTGATAATTTTATTTTATTATTTTATTATTTTTATTTTTTTTTTAATTTTTTTAAAACATTCCAAAACAGGCCTAACACTCATATATCTTATGGACAAAAATGGTGGTGGATATGATAACTTCTTAGCTTCTATATCTTATGGACAAAAATGGTGGTGGATATGATAACTTCTTAGCTTCTGAGAACCATGTCATGTCATTATGTGATTCTTAAATTAAGGCCTCGTTTGGGAATAGGCTAATTTAGTAACTTTTTGGTTATTTGGCTAAAATATGAGCTAAAAAAAACTAGTATGTTTGGGATGACTTTTTGACTTTTTACAAAAAGATGTGCAAAAAGTAGAGAGAAAAGAAAATATTTGACTTTTTGGTATGTGTTATTGGCTTTTTAGCTAATTTAGTAACTTTTTGACTTTTTGGTTAAAAAGTTCGGTTGCCAAACGAGGCCTAAGTCACTGATTTTGTAGGTATACTTGTGTGAGTAGGGGTGTACACGATTCGGATTGGTTCGGTTCTGAGAAAATCCAAGAACCGAACCAATCCTAACGGTTCTGTGATTTTGAGAACCAGACCAGACCGTTACACTTGTAAAACCGGACCAAAACCAAACCGAAAAAATGGTTCGGTTTCGGTTTGGTTTACGGTTCCAAAAATTTCTATTTACAAAAACAAATTGTTAATATTAGCAAAATAATTACTCAAACTAATTATATTTAACTCATGATAAAAACTAATAATATTAAGGCATTACTTAATATTACATATCTATATCATCCTAATATCATTAAAATTATAAAAAACCAATTAATAAAAATAAAACTTGATATTATATATATATATATATATCTTTTAAAATTCGGTTCGGTTCGGTTCGAACTGCAGTTTTTTCATAAAATCCATTAACCGAACCGTTTTTACGGTTCTCATATTTCTTAATCCGAAACCGAACCAATTCTTAATAGAACCGAACCGAACCGTACGATTCGGTCTGGTTCGATCCGGATTACCGGTTTGAACGGGTTTTTGAATAGCCCTATGTGTGAGCCTGACAGAATGAGCTTAGTTATCTTCGGCTTTGGATAATATGGAAATGCGGATTACAAAGCTAAAAAAAATTGACTAGATCTCATTAGAACAACTCTCTAATGGTGAACAACATACAGGGCAAAAAAAAA